ATATACATATATTAAGGCGTTTAAACCCTTCCCACATTCTTGCAATATTCTAAACAATGTTTCAAACTCTAAACACTCTAAAAGAGCACAACATATCATGATTTCAGCTCCCTGCCTCCTCTGCTCTTTGCCACCAGCAAGCGCTCTTGGCCACGCCTACTTCTCCGTGCTGCACGCTGAACAGCTGCAGCAGGAAGTTTGTCCTGCAGTAAAGGCTGCACAAAGGTGAAGGAGGTGCTAAATAATTTAAAATAATTTATTTTAAATAAAAATTCCATGCCAATCGTGCGGCTCATCCATCAATCAGCCATGTGTCATGTCCAATCTTGTTTTTAAAAACCGCAATAGAGTGAGTCTGTGATAAACGAATCGGGAAGTAGTGAGGGACTACTGTATATCAAATGATTTTTTTTATTTTTTTTTACTATAAAATCGGTACAAAGCATTATGATATATTTTTCTTAACATGACAATAGTGGCTCAGTTGGTAGATCTGTTGCCTCTCAGCGAGAAGGTCGCCAGTTCAAATACTGGCCCGGGTCCTTTCTGGGTGGAATTTGCATGTTCTCTCTGTGTATGCGTGGGTTTTTTCCGGGTACTCCGGTTTCTTCCAACAGACCAAAAACATGCATGTTAGACTGATTGGTGACTCAAAATTGTCCCTAGGTGTGAGTGAGAGAGTGAATGGTTGTTTGTCTTGTTTTTCTCTATGTGTCCCTGTGATGGACTGGAGACCTGTCCAGGGTGTCCCTGTGATGGCCTGGAGACCTGTCCATGTGTCCCTGTCATGGACTGAAGACCTGGAGACCTGTCCATGTGTCTCTGTCATGGACTGGAGACCTCTCTAGGTGTCCCTGCAATGGAATGGCGAACAGTCCAGGGTGTCCCCCGCCTCTCACACAGTGATGGCTGTATGTGGGCACCAGTGAACGTCATGACCCGAAAAGAAAGAAGCAGGTACAGATAATGGATGGATGGATGGATGGATGACAAACAAACAAACACAAGCACAGACAAGTAAACCAATCCTCTCTATCTACAGTCAATATCACCACTTCCTTTTGACCCTCTCTACTCATATGTAAGAATCCTGACCTTTAGTCCAAGGCTTAGCTCGCCGAGGGAGCATCTGATCTCTCGGGTGAGGATGTTCATACGCTCACACTCCTGCAGTGCCACCACCTGGTAGGGGGTCTTCTCCTCTGCCTTTCCCAGAAGCTCAGCCATGTCAAACTCTTCTGGAAGTTTTTCCAAAATGTCCTCCAGCACTGCATGGACCTGATCGTGTTAAAAGAAATGAAGGGAATTAAGTGAGAGGAAAACAACTCATCAATATTCAACCATTACGTAAAATAAAAGGAAAAAATGGCTTCTTTAAATAAATGACTAGAGATGGATTTATTAGATAAACTCCAATATGTAAGCTCAAAGTTTGTTTCAAACAGGCATGCCCATAAATATTAATTAGGTTAAACATTGCAATGCCTTTCATTTGTTTTCAATAAATTTCAATTTTAACATTGTAATTTATTGAGACAATCAATGTTCAAGTCCTATATTTGTGGATATGTGATAAAAGCTAATCTCTTTGACAACAGTTTTCCAAGACAACCAGCAGGAACAATAAATCAAAGGATTAGCTGCTGAAGAAAGGAGATGAGGTCATCATTTTTATGGATTTGCCAGTTCAAATATCTGATTTTAGGTTTGGCGTCCAGCAAGCACCCAGAATACAAAGTGAGGCTGGTTGATAAGCTCTGCATGGCTCTTAGTTAAGACAGGAGTTTTCAGACTTCTGAGCGAGAAAGGTCACCCATCAAAACTCGTCAATAAATGGAAATACACAAACGCAACACCGAACATCCAGAGGTAAAATGTTTGATACCACACAAAGCGAGGCAATCAATCAGACAAGTTCACGAAAGCGGGCTTTTGATTTCAGAAAACTGTGAAACAAACAAACAAAATAAAACTTTAAATAAGACTAATGTCATTGCCATGAGGTAGCCTTACCCAAACTTCTTGATTTGACATCATCCTTTTTAAAATATTTAACAAACAGAGCAGAACATCTGTAAATGTTAAGGGTCTCTTACAGCAAGGAGACTTCAGCTTGAACATAACTTGGCATGCAAATGCATCAACAAACCTCCATGTCTTAAAAAAGCATACAGTGCATGAAATCACCCTTAACCATATGTATATTTTTCATTCATTCAACCTTTAATTATACAGGTTAGTCTCATTGAGCCTCAAGGACTCATTTACAAGAGAGACCTGATTTAAACAAAGAACACAAATGACAACAGCAGAAAATCATAAATAAGCATATTTATTTAAAAATAAATGGAAGAAAATTATATATAAAAAAGAAACAAAAATAGCTACATTATAAAGCAATATAAAATACAAAAAACAGGAATATGGCTGCATGGTTTTTGCCATGAACTTAACAGATGTTTGAAGCCACTTAGAGAGGTCAAGGTAGAGAGCTTCAGATCTTTTTGCAAGATATTACAGGAAACAGGAGCGGAGTAGGAGAAGGCCCTTCTGCCAAGTTCAGTCCTCACTGAGGGGACACTGCAGGTAATAATGTCCTGAGAGTGCACGCTGTAGCAGCACTCACGCAGAGACATGTAGGAGGAGATGAATGAAGGTAACAGACCAAGAAGTGATTTAAAGATGAAAATGTACCAGTGAAGTTAACGATGACCAGTTAACCAGTGAATACAGGGTGCAGTGGTGGGTACGGTAGTTACAGCCAGTTATGAATCTTAATGCACCATGATAGACAGCATCCAACATCTGCAGGGTGCTTGCAGGAGCATTCATGTAAATAATGTCACCATAGTCAATGGAGGGGAGGAATGTAGCAGCTATAAGGTGTTTCCCAGCATTCAGAGTTAAACATGATCTACTGTATTTCTGAAAAAGAAACCCAATTTTACATTCAGTTTCTTTACCAAGTTTTCGACATGAGATTTAAAAGAGAGATGTGAATTGACCAAGATACCCAAATATTTGTGAGAACTGACAAACTCAATAGGGCCACCATTGGAAGATAAAATAGAAGGAAGAACTGTTAGAACTGATGTCCTGTTTTAAAACAACATCCCTTTGTTTTTATCAGCATTTAGCACAAGTTTGAGACGAACAAATCTGTCTGGATGATGCCGAAAGCAGACTGTAAAAGCTGAAAAACCTTAGCAACTGTTTTAGCTCAACAGTAAACAACGTTATTGTCAGCATAGAGATGTAAGAATGAATCAGGAACGATCTAACCTACATTACTTATGTTGATTGTGAAAAGGTGGGTGCTAAGACTAAGCCTTGTGGTATACCATTGTTGACAGTTAGATACCTGAAAGAAGTACCCTAATGTTGAACACATTGCCTGAGATCTGAAAAATACTTAGAAAACCAACCAATAGTGTGTTCTGAGAAACCGATCTCTGAGAGCTTATGACACAAGATGTTATGATCCACACTTCACAGTGTCAAAAGCTTTAGACAGGTCTAAGAAAAGTGCAGCACAATAATCCTTAGCATCCAGTGCTTCAACAATGTCATTAAGAACCTTCAGCAAATCATTGTGCTGTGTTGTTTTCTGAAACCAGATTAGGTAAGAGATAAGATGTTAAAATAATACAAATACTTCTTGATTTGAGAGTTTATCAGTTTTACTAGAACCTTAGCTAAAATACAGAGTTTAGATATAGTTGTTCAGTATAGTGGGGTCTCCTCCCTTCAGCAAAGGTAGAACAAAGGCTGTTTTCCAAGCATTTGGAATGGAGTTTTGACTTATGGACAGGTTAAAGATGTGAGACACCAGTTCTGCAATGATGTGTGTAGTCAGCCTTCAGAAATAAAGAAGAAATAAGGGCTTACAGGATTTTTACAATCTAGACCTTTTAACAATTTATTAACATCACTTACCGAAAACAGTGAAAAGGAAAAGGTGTGGTTTACTGAGGACTGACTTGTAGGAAATTTGATAGAGGCAGACGATACAGGAGTCTGCCATCACACACAAAAAGACTCAAAGACAGTTATTATCCACAAACTGTCAGATTACTGAACTCTTGATAATAATACTGAACTACTGACAATAACATTGCACCAAGCCACATCTATGGCACCTAATATGTTTATTGGTGCTGCACTATGTGGTTGTATCATGTATGTCACTATCTTACCATCATAATTCAATCTCAGTGTTACTCACTACCTGTGCAATAACCTGTCACACAACCTGTGTAGTTTATGTTAGTTATGTGCATTATATATCACATGCATTTTAGCTTATATTACCACCTGTGAAATACTTATACTAATTCATGCTACTTGCACCATTATATTCTACTATGTTGTTGTTCACTATATTTCTTTTGGACATTGTAAATATTATACTTCTTTTTCATTTTTTTGTACTTATTTTGTACCCTTATTGCATGCTTTAGTATTTCTTGTTTGTTCTTTGTTTTAGCGAGTCAAATTGGTTCTTTTCACCCTGAACATTTCATTGTACTGTTGACCTTGTGTTAACCTGCATATGCCAAAATAACAACACAGTGAACCCTGCAATCCAAAAAGGGAGAAGCAGGTAAAGAAAATGAATGGATGGATGGATGGATGGATGGATGGATGGATGGATGGATGGATGGATGGATGGTATATTTGACAGTTGTTAGAAAATGAATGGAT